TCATCATTATCATTGTCGGAGTGATGGGTCGGCGAGGCAGTCACGACTGACAGCCGACAGTCACCACCGCCCATCATCATCTTTTTCAAAACGAGAGAGAGAGCTGAGCTCAACGGCCGCTCCATCTCGTCATTCACCGCCATCCGAATGTATACGTCCGGCGAGCTCGACAGCAGCCATGCCTGTCAGGCACGAAACGTCAGCAACGAAAAATGTTGCTAAATCGAAAACGGCGCGAACGCCAAAAGCGAATAGTAACGGCGGCAAAAATGATGGTGATCGAGCAAAAGCAAAATCAACATCAGCAGTCTGCTTCATCGCTGTCAGATGAAGATGACAATGATAATGATGATGTACTACCGGTACTGGTTGTGAAACTCATCTAGATGGATGAGACAACCGACATCAAGGATTTGGCAGACTTAAGTAAGAAATATAGCACTGCGACAAAATGCATGTTCAAGTTATCACTTAAAACACTACTCGATCTTTCGACCTTTATTCAAGGGTCATCATCAGGAGTGAATGACAAAAAGAAAAAAGTATACATATCAACAAAAATTTTTTTTGAAGAAGAACAGAAAGAAATGAAAAATTGAAATGCGCAATTTAAGAAATTCTTCTCTTTATGCTTTAGACAGTAATAAGTCAACAGTCCGTCATATGTGCAAAGTTATATTAAAGTTCATACGAACAAATTGGAATGGTTAAAGGAAAACCTGTTGGACAGGATTATTTGAATTATAAATCACAATTAGTTCATAATCTTTCTTCCTATGTTTTAACTCCGAATGAAGAAAGACTTTTGCAACGTGGTTGGAAATTTTGCATTGAGAATAAAGTTAGTAATATGATGAATTTTATGACTGAAATTGAATTAAATGCTTACACTCTTAAGCCTGTCATTTCTGCTTCCGTTTTTAAAGTCTTTTGTCGTGATTTTTATTTATTTTCTTCACAAATGATGAAAGTTTCAAAGCGTAAAAATATTAGGAACGTTAGTGACGCTGAGTATGAAGCCATTCAATCATTGAAATCGAATACGGACATCGTTGTTATGAAGGCTGATAAAGGAAATTGTATTGTTATCCTTGACAAGAAAGATTACGTCAGACGTGCTTGTGAAATCTTACAATTAGATCAATTTGAATCAGTTACACGTAGGGCTGGCTTATTACATTTACATAATAGAGAGAAACAAATGAATGATTACATTCGAACCCATCTTCATGATAAACAGTTAATTGGGACATCATTATTCATGCGTTTACATTCAACGAGTGCTTCATTTTCAACATTTTATGGATTACCTAAAATTCATAAAAATAATTATCCTTTACGTCCAATAATATCTTCGATAGGAAGTTACAGTTACGAATTATCGAAACACCTTGCGAATATTATTAATCGTCACAGACCTGCTCAGGTTTTATCACACGTGAAAGATTCCTTTCATTTTGTTAATTTGATAAAGGATTTTCAATTTCAATCAAATCAAAGCATGTACAGCTTCGATATTGAATCCTTGTATACTCAAGTTCCTGTTTTCGAAGCAATTGATTGCGCTCTTGATTTAATTTTTAAAGATAAAAAATGGCAGCCAACTTGTCCTTATAGTCGAGAGCAGATGAAAAATCTTTTAAAGTTTGCTGTTTGTGATGCTCCATTTCGGTTTTATAATGAAATTTTCATTCAGCGTGAAGGAGTGGCTATGGGTAGTGTACTTGGACCTATACTTGCTGAACTGTTCGTGCAAAAAGAAGAAGAAAAGATTCAGAATTTGACTGATATTAAACCTGTACTTTACAAGCGTTAT